CAAAAGTATATGCTTATGTATAATTTATTAACCATTTCCAGTTATGTTTTACAAGAGAAACTTTACTCAGACACAGCATCCTCACAAGCATGACAGAGCAACTGGAGTCAGGGTCAAATTTCAGTTGATCACTAATCCCAGCCAAACAAAGCAATTGTACCATGAAAGATCAGAAACCAGAATATATAATATTATCATTACTGCAGGACCTTTTCACCACATAGAGTGACTTTTCTATCTTTTCCTTCTCTTTCTTCTCATGGCACTTTGCATTCATGCTCTCTGAGTTCTTGTTGATTCCTTTGTTCTTTCAAACTCTGGAATTACCACTGCAGAAGTAGTGTTCCCCATTCAGCTAGATAACAAAGAATTTTAAATTTTTTTTTCTTTTTAAGAGGGAGAAGAATTACAGTTTTCTTAACTTGATGAGGTAGCACACAACAAGTTCATTTCACCAAGCTGCCTATGCAAACTATTTCATCAAAAAATAAGTTGTCAAAACTATTTCAGGGTTGCTGAATCTTATTTACTGGAGTAGCTCATTGTGTTACATATACAAAAAAACCAGGAGAGTCATAGCCTAAAAATGAAAAATTTTACTTTAAGAAAAACTGCACTTTGATTCAAACTTCTGCAGAAAGGGAGACTACATGCCACTGGAGATTTTAGTATGGCTTCTATTTACTTTTGTCTAGCAAAGTAATATGTTGGCAACACAGACAGTCTGGAGCGAGTCTATTGTATTTTCTGGTTTTTCCAGTCACATTTCCTGCTTATCCTTCCATGTTTGTCCTTCACCTCATATTTCTGTTCCTAGAATCTGTTCCAGGCACTCACCCTAATGACATAAAGATCCCAGACTAACTAGGACAAGAGTATTTGTTAGCTCAGAAATTAATAGGAGCTGTTATATGCCTCATCTTGCAAGTTGGCATACCCTTCCAATTAAAAAGAGTAAAATGATAAAGTATTTCATAGCAGAATTTTGAAGGGATTAAAGGTTATTTTGCTCTCCCACATATGTATAGTGTGCAATTTGTCCTGGTGGTAAATTAATTAAGTATAATGGAGGATACAATTTTTGATGTGTTTGTTTGTAACTTCATATATGTGTACTACTTTTTGTGTTTCTTGCATGCCTGGACAGCAGGGAGGAAGGTTCTTTATGTGTTTGTCTCAGTTTGTTTGCTTGGTGATACATCTGGTAGAACTTGGTAGGAGGATGCAAGGTCATCTGAGGAACTTTTATAGAAGCAGGTGGAGATGGCAGAGAGTAAGAGAGACAGCAAGGAGGAGAGCTAAGTGTCAGACTCACTAGAGGAGCAAGGACCTGTCTGTACTTTATTCCCAGCATGTCATTGTGTTGAAAAAAAAAAAAAAAAGGAAAACAAAAGGAAAAATTACAATATAGTATGTTTATGTAGAAATAGGTAGAGTTCTATGCTTGTTCTATTCCCTTTCCAAGCTGACAGTGTGGGACAATAGGAAAACAGAAGCTATATTAAATGGTCTAAGAATCAGGATTATTAGTCTTCAATTTCTTATGGCTAATCTTCATTTATTTGTGAAAGAAACAGTATACTACTCAGACTAACATGCACAGGGATCTTTCCTATCTACTCAATCAAGGAAGACTGTTTCATAACTTTTCCAAAGAAATTACATATGAATAACTGTTTGAATCTTCTCAAGGTAGAATAGTTGATATACTCAGGGAGATTAACTGAGGAACTGTCTTGTACTATCAACAAATGGACTACATAGTTTAAAAGGTCTTCAGACACTAGAGTTTTACTACTGATGTACATAGCACATATAGTATATTTAACAGCCTAATAATACCTTATTTATTACTATTTATCATTTGCTGAAAAAGTACTGATGTAAAGTTTTCCAAATCCATGTCCTTTGCCATAGGGTAAATAAAATAGTGCTATAATACCATACTGAAAAAAGAAAAGTGTCTCTATCTGCAGAAAGTTCCCAAGAAAAAGTACATTCATTATATAGTTATTGCAATCATGCTTCCATTTAAAATCTCATTCGGATTTGTTATACTGTGTTGCAAAGAACGCGCCAAAGGCAGGTCTGCTTTTTTTTTTTTTAATTATAAATTAAAATTCTATCCAGTGTGTATTTCTTCTATGTTTGTGTGCACTCTGAAGGAATGTCTTCCTAACAGTGAACACCAGTATTCTCTTTTTTTTTTTTCCCCATCTATAGAAATGGATCCTCTGAAAAACAATACGTATCACTGTTAGAACCAATTTACTTCTCTGTTAAAATATACCCAGGGATAGTTCCGTGACACCACACTTTTTGGCTTAACGTTTTTGTTTTGTTTCCTTGTCCACCTCATGTAGTTTAGAGATCCTTTGCTCACTGTGAGTTATAGGCAGAAAGTGTATTAAAAAGGCAGAGATGTGGTGTCTTTTCAAAACAAGAGTCCTTTACACAATACCTTGCATTCTTGTTACTAGCTACCACCTAGCCACATCCCAGCTTCATATGAGCAAAATGGGACCAGGTCCCAGTCTGTCTGTTTCCAGATTTCCTGCAGCATTTCCATGGGGTGTATCAAAGGATATGAACTGTGAGGATCTGAGGAGCTCCACAGTGCCCAACTAATTATCTCTTCTGCCACCAGGACTGCTATGTTCACCACCAAGTATTGCCATCCTCTTATGTAGGTCATGTTAGAAGGAGGTATATCCTATTCCTGTATCCATATTCCCCAGGAAATGTCTTCCTTCTCTGCTCACAAGGAAAATGTCCATTTTGCATTAAGTATTTAATGTGATAAGTTTAACCAAGAACATTTCTATTGCAGCTCATTTTTCTGAACTTCTATTTGGAAGGATGATATGGTTTGAAGCTGGCTCCCTGCCAAGTCTCCAAACCTCACCACAAAAACTCCCCCTCCCCCACCTCCTGAACCAAGGAAAAAGAAAAAAAAACAAAAGAACCGAAATGAGAGACAGCTAAAGTAATATATATAAATATATTTACATTCATATTACAGTTATATATAATTGAAATATATATACAATTTCAAAAGGGAAAGGGGAGGGGGAAGGGAAAAAAGGAACAAAACCAAAATAAAATATACATGATCAATAGCCCAAGATCTAGCAACTAAAAGAATTAACAAAAGAATATCTTACTACTCTCCTTGGGACAACATAAAGTAAATTAGCATTTGTTGAGAACAAAATAAGTAAAAATATAAAAATTGCTTCAAGTTACCTCAATGACCATGAAAGACTGATGTCAAGGAAATCAGAATTGAAAAAAAAAAAAAAGTAGCTATTTTAATGGGGATGGATTTTAATATTTTTTTTTTTTAATTTTTTTCTCTATTCTCCTAGAATTCAAATATTTTACTTTACTTTTCCCTATGGAAAAATTGTATTTACTGAGAACTAAAATACATTGATATTATAAAATGTTGAAGAGATGTCTTAAAAGACAATCAAAGATACTGTTTGTGAAATCATATTTATATTCCAATGATACTTTTTCAAGAGGACCATACTATATTTTAATTTATCAGGGTGGTATTCTATTTTCCTTCTCTTTGTGGGCCAAGAAAGTTGATATTATGCTTATGATACACAAAACAGCATGATGCACATTATAAAGAAGATTATTTGTGAGACCAGGATGAAATATAAATTTAAGGAGAGTTCTCCTTGCTTGTGTCTTTCCTATTTGATTGTCAAAACTTAAATTCAAAATTTGAATGTGATATGGCTTCATCAAATATTATGTATATTTAGAGTTTACTTAGATGAAAATGGTAATTTTAAAATACAGGTCATCATTTGTCAAATTTCAGCTTCTTCTGAGAGGTAAAAGAGGTAAACCTTTAACATCTGATCAGAGACAATAAATAATGTGCTGAGATAAGCTTTTCCAAAACCTTAAAGACTATAAGCATGCTCTGTCACTATCTTCTTAAAGTAAAATGCATATTTCTCTAATTTTATACCATTTGAAATATAAAATAGTCCAAAATATACTTATGCTTCGAATAGTTTTGCAAAAGCTCTCCATCAAGGCGATGATCTAGTATTTTATATCAATTGAGCGTGATGCTATTTTTGAATACTCATACTTTTTCATTTTTCATGTTATGCCAGTGTGAAGGATGTCCAATTTTTAAATATTTATTGCCAAATAGATAATTGACAGAACAATGATCTTTTTTATTCCAGCCACTTAGGCTCATCCTCCAAAAGATCAGTTCCCTCATTGACACCTTATATGCAGTCTGAATTCCTTTGTTCATCTGTATGAATGTATTTTTAAATTTTTTTTTCACCTCCTTAAGACTGATTTCAGTAGACTGTAATACCTGTCATTACACAGGGACTAAAATCTTGGGCACTATTCTTTTTTTGTAAGCACTGAAATTTTAAATATGGGCTGAAAAGGCAAAAAAGGGGAGTTACAGAGACAGAAGAGGAGGTTAGTTTAGCATTTGTATGTTTTTGGGAGGGATATTTGTGCATATATGGACTTCTAGTCTGCTTAGCTAACCCACTTGATTTGTAGAGTAGTATTGAATTGAGGAGCATATTTAACTTCAATCAGTGCTTTTGCATTGCACATAAAAAGTAATGAAAGGTTGTGAAGGAAAGATAGTGGCTTGGAATACACTTTTCTACTATGTAATAGAAATATAGGATCATAGAAATAGAACTAAAATCATTGAAAACAAGAGTTTCTATAAGTAAGAAATTTAATAACCCTCTGCTTTTAATGTTGTGATGAAACTGCAGGGGAAGTTTCTGATTTAGAACTCTATGCTGCTAACCAGTAGAAGCTGAGTCCATCATCAAGTCTGGGATGTTTCTGTCACTCCTAGTACACATAATTTTTTTTACTTTTCTACTGAGTAACTAAATATTCTTTTGAAAAGTGATGGATTTTGTCTTATTTCAGTGTTCACTTCTTGTTGTTTTTTTTTTTTTTGGTTTTGGTTCTTCTTTTCTCAGAATATTCAGAAGCTGTTCCTGGTCTCCCCACTTCATATGCTGCTATCCTAAGAATCAAATCTGGTAGTTCATCTTTAGCCTCATTTAATTCAAAGAATAGACCACGATTAAGCAGTTCTTCATTAGGAAGTGTATCTTCACCAGGCTGGAGAGGAGCCGCACAACATTATCATTCCCCAACAAACCTCTATCACTTTTCAGACACCTTCAAACATGATGGTAAGTCTTATTTACCAGTATGAAACTTCAAAACATTTTTCAAAAGTAACACATTTTTATCAGCTTAATTCAGTATTTCTCAGATGCAATTTTGAATTTTACTAAATATCACAAAGTGGAAATGAACTTCTTTCCTTTAAGTTCTTCAGATTAGCCTTAGCCACCAGTTAAAACATTCTTTCTTAAAAATTTCTGTGTAGAAGAGTTTTATACAAGTGTTGCTACCTGAAAATAGCAAACTAGTGTTTTGAAATTCCATTATAGCACAATTTCTTCTAGTAATAAAATCTCAGTTATTTTATATATACATATATATATATATATATATCTTTTCTATTTGGAACTTCTATAATTTAATCATGAATGATAGTAATGTAAATTAAACATGAAGAGTAAATCTTATAAAACTACTTTTTCTCCAAATTATCTACACTGTGTAGTCAACTGTCATGCATGTACATGTGCATGCATGCGTAGAGAGACATACTGGTGTGATATGGTGTCATTTACCTTTGCATGAAATAATTCATTGTAACAATTTTCTCATGTCTGGTTACATTTTAAAAAGCCACATTTCTGATACCATTTATTTAGTGATAATATTTATCTGAGTTACAGTCAAAAGAAGGTAGAAAGACAGAAAGAAACAGAGGGAAGGAGAGGGAGGGAGGGAGGGAGGAAGGGAGGAAGGAAGAGGTTAGAGGATGTATAAACATATTAGTCTAAGGAGGTAACAGAAAAGAATTGTGATTAATAACTCGCAGTTCAACGACATTCACACAGTACCATGAGTGTGATAACAGGTTACTTGCTCCTCTCAGTAAAATCTTATATTTCTAACTGGAAAGCACCTTACATGAATTGAAAGTTAATAGTGTGTGCATGTGGTTTGGTGTAGAAAAATGACTTATATACAAGCATAAATGTGTTTCCTAAATTAAGGTTGACCTAGAAAAGAAACAATTTGAATCATGTAAGCAGATAAATTCTGTTTGATAGCATTTCTAGAATTGAGGCATGTTTCTATGTTTTTCCTTTCTCTGCGATATTCTTTTAAGCAGTGCCTAGATTGACCCTCACCAGACACTGATAATTCCTCACAGACAACATGATATGGGCAGGTTAAAATCAAAGTCCAGTATTAGAACCAGAGTCTATTATCCTGATCTTCTACAGCATGAATGTCTAGAGACTGAAGGAGAAAGCAAAAAATACAGACTATATGAATAATATAGTACAAGCTAGAACCAGAAATCCTTGGCATCTCCAGTAAGCATGGTTAAGTCATACCTCAGGTATGATAATCCTACCACAGGTGTGACCTATGATATAGGTCAACAATCATGACTCTTCTCACAACGTAGAGGCCACATTCCAACTCTACAGTTGAGCCTCTTCAATTTTTCAGAAGGAAATGAAAAACTACTGGCCAGAGACAAAATTATAAAAAAGACATGCCTCATAAACCCCAATGAACAGAGTGCTTGACTCAGAAGAGAGGAACCTATTTCTGCTGAAGGCTGCATAAAATAGTCCTAGAAGAGTTATTCCACCACTTACAGGTCTTGGTATATCTATCTGTGCAGACAGTTGTAAAAATACATAAATCTGAGTCCCCTGAGTAATGTTTTAAAAGCCCTTGATTATGTGAAGCAGCTGTGTGGCACAGGTATAGATATGAAACAGAATTTAGGAAAGACCAGCATACTTCAGATGTGGCAGAAGACCAGGTAGGATAATTTGCATCATCTAAGAGGACAAGAACACTTCTGCTATGGTAGCTGAATGCAACTTATTTTCTAAACCTCTTTCAGCTCTTTTAATACCTTTATGTCTGAATTAATATCTTTGATATTTAAAAACCAGAAATTAATCACTACCTCAATCATCTGGTATTACACTTATTTATACTACTATGTTTATTGATTTTGATTTGATCTCAAGGTGGGTTTGTTTTTTTTCTCTTTTAAGTTTTTAGAGCTCTTGAAGGAAAGATATTCTAGTTATTGTCCTACAACAGCTATGTGATGATAAATTTAAGTGGTCCTGTTTGTCAACCAGGGTCTCCTAAATGAGGAAATGCTACAGAATCCTGTGCTAATGTATTATAATGAAAGACCATTGCTTCAAGTGAGAGGACATTTTTAGGAGGGGAGGAAACATATGTTATTACAATAGAGAATTTGCATTATTCAAGCATCTAACATATGGCATAAATTCAGAAGTCAAGTTTGCCCCCCAAAATACTTTTATTAGCTGCTTAATTATACAGGTTCTCAAGTGACTTCTCAATTGATTTCCCAGCGGACATACTCAGACACCTGTCATGGCTTCTAATAAAGGTTATTTTATAATGACTTTATGCTATTTCGTTTGTACTCTCGATTCAACATGTGTTTCCTGATATCTTAAATTAAAAGATCTATGCATTAGCTCACTGCTGAATTTAAACTATTTGGGATTATTTGACGTAAACATGCTATTAAGGTAATGCAGTCCTTCTCTTTAAACTATGAATCAATGTGTAAAGTCATGACTAAAAAGTGTGAATAAAAAGTATGAATTATTCATTAAATAGTCTTGAAGAAGCATAAAACTGCAAACTCTTACATTTTCTTGCTGTTTGAAAACTTTTGGAATTGCTGGAATTGAACTTAACCTTGTACAAGGACTCTTTTTTTCCTTTCATCTCTGGTTTGATATATTTTAGAAGAAAATAAAAACCAGGGTTTGTGTCACAACTGTGTTTGAATCAATGTACCCCAAATATGTAAGATTAGAATCTAATTTTTGTTGAATGAAAATTCCTGATTCCCTACTATCTGCCAGATTCAGCATTTACCGGTCTGAATAAAAGACACAAACTACAAAATTTTTTTCCATTGCTAAAAATATTTGGCAACATTGATTCATGTGGCATGAAGTTTAGATATTGTAAACTAAGTTTAGAAGAGATTTACTTGTTTCAGAACACAGAACAGAGAAAGCATTTCAAGCAACAGAAAAAACATGTATTTTCTTGCTTAATACATAAATAAAAATGTTTCAGAAAAGATTAATCTGAAAATACAAGCACATAATTTAATCTCCTTTGCAGTGTAAACTTAATTATTCATGTACTGTACACTACTGCAGCATGCAGCATACAGGAATCAATGTGCATACCTTGAGGCATGCATATCTTCCTGAACTTACTTCAAAAGGAGTCTCCTCAAAGTTTCTTGGCTTTTAACTTAACTGAAACATAGTTTAGAGATTAAAATATATTTTTGAAATGCATATGTTGCAAATATATATATCTGCTTCTATAGATGCAAAATAATTATTGCAAATTTCGACCACCTTTATTAATGTTAAAATCCATTACACACAGATTTAATCATTGTAACATATTTTGTCATGATGTATTCAGGGACTTCTTTTTCATTATATTAAAGGAAACTTTATATTTTGACATATGATACTAAATTGTATAGTAATTATTTTTTAGGTGTCGAGTGAAAGATTATATTATAGAATCTACTTGTAAAATAAATACTGGCACTGAAGTTAATACATTTTTTCAGTATTTAAACTGAAAAAAGTTTCTAGCTTTCAGTTGAAGAAAACAATACATTTTCTTTGAAATCAGGGTGACTCTACATCTAAAATATTTTCTGAATATGGTGAACAGGTTATACTGTCTGTTTCTGTGATAACAAAGGCTAATCAGAAGATCCATTAGAGTCATCACGTGAAGTGCATACAACAGGCATAAATTGAAAACAAAGAAAAAAAAGGAAATTCAAAAGCAAGGTTGATAGTGAGTAGCACTAAAATGTGATGAACCTTTACCAAAAAGTTTCTTTCACTTTGTAGGACCAATTTGAGATAAAACGGCACTGGTTTACTTCAATTAATTCTTATTATATGCATATTTCAGCAACATATGTAGCCTTATCAGCAACTCCTTCAACTTTCTTAGCGTATCCTGTACATATTAATACCTTCAACTTTCTTAGCATATCCTGTACATATTAGTACCTAGGAGTGACAGATCATAGGATTTGTTCTGTGATTTGTCAAGCAGGTACTTTTCTGGGTAGGGCCTGTATGCAGAATCCATTGTGTATTTTAGGATAGAAGATCTGTTAATGATCCCTCACTTTAGGCTGTTTAAGAAGTTCTATCATTTTACATCATCTTCTGTAGCTTCTCTTTAGAAGATTCTTCCATCTCCACAAAATTGTCCCATCTACAGTAAGCCTTTGAAACATAAGGGGAAAAAAATAGAGCAATAAGAAAATATTGTTTTCCTGGTCCTGTAAAATCTTGTGGTTTTTTAAATTTTTCTGAGTTACTCTACTTTCAAAGAACTGCCATCACCCTTGTTCCAACTGCCATTTGGACAAATTTTGTCAGTATGTCAGAATAACAGCTGAAAATAAGTGATTGGTCTGAAGATATTTCTAGTCCACCTTCAGAGGGATTAGCAAAGCCACCCACCAGTACTATCACCAGCAGTAAAAAAGTGCTTCTAAAGTGACATGAGCAGAGGAAGGGGAGAAGACTTGAAGGAATACTTCTTTCCCCCGTATTCACAAGCTGCCTGAGCATATCCCCTCACATAACTTGTTCACTCTTTCTTCCCACCAGTAGCTCAGACAGAGAAGATGGCACCAAGAAGACTATTTAGGCCAATAATATAGATTTAATGGTACTATAGCATTGCAGACAGGGTCAAACTATATTAATGATATTTGATGCATGTGACCAATGCAGTGTACAATTTGCTACTCCTTCTCCTTCTGCAGACTACTATATTGTAGAAATATTATTTAAGAAAACATTTACAATAAACTCATTTCTTTTGTTCTTTAGAAGTACAGCACATAGAATTATCAGACACTAAAAATAATACTTCCAATACAGCTTCAATGCAGGTGTTTGAACAGGGACATATTTCTTTCCTGCCCACCTCTATGTTACCACGTTTCCAGGAATTAATTCCTTTTTCACGGTGTATTTATTGATCTGGAATAATATCAAGAATGGCGGCAAGAAAGTTGACTGTTGAGGAATGACACTATTTCAGTTACTGTAGAATTGAAAGTATAAGAAACTTAATTCTCATCTGCAGCTTGTTCTTGTGGTATCTGCATTGCTCAGCAAGAACTAAAGAGCATCTGATTTTTTTTCCATCAGTAACTGAGGATGAGAAAAAAATATGTCTGTAGGTAAGAGAGAGAAACCACATTTTGTGGCTGTCCAAGTTGCAAGACACACAGATTCCAGTTTCCATTCCCATGAGGATTTAAATGCTTGGTACTAAGAAGTCATATACTTCAGTATTTTTTAAGTAGAAAACTGCTGTAAGTAGAACACTGGTAGTCAAAGAATATTTGAACCTTGTTCTCAATACTATTCTAGAATTTAAAAGAGGGATTTTACTGGTATTTTGAATGTTTTCCTTATCCTTGCCTTTCTGGACAATACCAGTTTAAACAGTAAATCCTAATGACAGTACTTAGTGCTTTTAGTTGCCTAGATTGAAAATGATAACTTAAAACTTGTAAGGAGACCACAAACTAGCTATTCCACTGGTTGGTTGCAATGTACACCAGTAATCCAAAGACTCACTGGTCTGAGGTAGCACTTAAAGTAACTGGTCTTCTGTATCTTATTTAATAAAGGCCTGTGTCAGGAACAGAAATATTTACCTTGAGAAATTAAAACAGTAAATTCAAATATACATATGCTAACATGTATGTTAAATAGTCATGTTGTTTTATGCTCTGTCTTAAGTTAGAAAGTAAAAATAAGATGTGGACCTCAAATCCTGCAATGCACACTCACACAGGACTATCTGGTTTAAGAGCATGGGCCACAGTTAGCTAAAACATGAGTACAAAGAAACATGATGCCTTTGGATCCTTGAAGGCATCAGAAAACATACATATGTATAAAAACATGTGTATGTGTGTATGTAAATATATAGCTTATATATCAACATATACAATGATATATAAATTAGATAGAAGAAAATAAGGGCAATAAGAAGAAGATCTGGGATATTTCCCCCAAAAGACCACATAAAGCAGAAGAACCAGCCAATGGTTCATGAATCAGAAAATTTTGTTTCAAGGTCAGACAGAGGGCTTGGGTGACTCCACTGTCCATAGTCTGAGGGAAGCATCCAGCTGCCTGTGGGACCATGGTGTGCTATAGACTGGGACTGGCTGTGCTTCTAGGTCTTTAGGTCAATGGCTTTGTTAAAACTGCAAAAACCTCTGTCTGAGTGGTTGAGAGAGGGGACAAGAGTGTGCCATGGTCAGCTCCTGTTTGTGTGAGCTGTCTTACAGTACAACATCTTATGGGTATTTGTCAAACTGGTAGACAGGACTCATTCATTATTATGTTGCTTCTGCATCTCCAAATAATCTCTGCCAGTATTCCACACTCCATTTGAAATGCAGATAAGCAGCTAACTACATCTTTTATAAACATGACTTGCATGCACTGAACTTTCTCTTTTACCTTTGCCTTCACTGCAGGCAGAAGTAAAATTTGATCTTAGTTCCCACAGCACAAGTGTCCATTTGGCCACCACCATTAAGAACACAAGCTTCCATCTAAAGAGTTTAGAGTTTATTTTTCTAAAAGAAAAGTGGAATGCAGTATTTGAGTACCACTGTTGCAAAACATATAAGTAGAAATAACACCTGTACTGCTAGTAACACCAACATCTTTTTCTTTTCTTTTCAGCAGTTCTAGACCATGACATTATATTTTATCTACAGAGTTTCTCCTAGGGAGAAGATAAAATCATTAATCTTCATTAATATACTCCCTGTCCGTATGTCTACTAATCTGCATGAGTAACAGTTAAATCTAAACCCATGATTTAGATTTGTTATCATTAATTAATTCTTGGTTTTGCTAAACTCTAGCTTGATGTAAGTTCTAATTATTTACACCTACATCCATTAGTATTTTCTTTTGTGCAATGTAAGAAGCAGGTCAGCAAATTATAAGAAACAATCAATACAATTTTTTTGTATTCACATTTCCCTGGCTTAAAATAAGTTTTGTCAGCTGAATCCATTGTCCAAGTGGCATCTTCAACTGTACTGCTCAAAATTTAATACCGGAGTTATTTTAACTTCAATAATATAAGTGCATATCAGAAATCACTTGTTGTGGTTGTTTTGATTTTTTAAAATAATGTAGAAATTTTTTCCAGAAAATATATTTCTACTAATAAACCCAAGTGAAATAATGTACCTACAAGTAATGTACATACGCAGAGCAGCAATCCACACTTCTTTACACCATCCTACAAATAGGGTAAATAAACTGGAAAATTATGGAAAACAGAAACTACTAATTGCTGCTGCTTTTCTTTGCTGACCTAACAAATTGACAGAGTAATTATTTGAATCTATTTCAGTAGAAGCATGCACACCTGAAAATAAGAGTGTTTTCAAAATCTACATTTGAATAGTAGTGTAAAAGGACAACAACTAAGTGTGTAATGTGTGTCATCACTAAAAAGAAAGGTTGAATAGCATAATGGGGTTTTATTTGGTCTTTTCCATATGATACGACAATTGAGAAACCCCAAATGTAAGAATTTAAAGATGGAAATTTGCATCTCAAAAACAGCATACTATGACCAATGTCTCCCAAGTTTCTCATCGTTTTTCAGACCCCAAGAGTTTCCTCTCTGTAGAAAGATTCATATCCTCTTTTCCTGTCCACCCAGTGTTTCTGAAACTGTCAGTTGAACGCAAAAAGTTGCAGTTCCCAAAACTGTGAAACCATAATATGTGGCTGAAGTTGGGTGGAGTTGGTATAACATTGTAGTAAATAATTTTTGTAAGTCAATGACTAAAACCTCAAGCTTTCAGGTGTAACTTTTTTACTTGAGGCTGGTTTGAAAAATATAGCAGGATGTTATAAATTATTTCGTGTGTCATACTGTTCTCAGTATGAACTGGAGGACATCTATGACATTAACATATGAAATGATAAAAATGACAGAGAAAACCCTGTTCCTTTATGTTTCATTGCAAGTAGTAGCAAAATGTAACTTTCTCTCCACACTCAAATCACTAGGAGAGTGCTCTAAATATGAAGAACACTGTGGAATTAAATCCAAGAGTCTGGAGTAAGTCTAAAATTATTAAAATTCCACAGACTTCTGGTACACAGTGAGACTTTTAGTTATTCAGAACAATGTGATCAGTAATGCTCTGCTTGCGACCTTTTACTTTTCTGAAGGTTTATACTTCTCACTTCACAATCAGAATGAATTGGAATCGTAGATGTATTCTATGGGTCTATCCAGCTTTTCTAGTTCAGAAATGTAAATTCTTATCAAGATTTAAGTACATGCCAAAATTAGGGAAGACAGTGGAGGAAAATGAAATGTCAGATTTAGCTATATATTATTTAATAATAGCCACCAGTTGCTGACATTAATTTTCCTAGTGATTTTTCTTAGCACCTCCTTGACATAAAGGGGAAAAGTGTGCATTACTTTTCTGTGAGATAAGCTGCTGCAAGCAACAGGACAATTTTTGTTTACCTTGCTCTCTATAAACAGAGTTAACTCCTCTAAATTCTCTTGAGTTTCTCACGAGACTGCAGGCCTGATGAGAAAGCCATTCTAAGGCATAATAAACACTTAAACCATACTATGTGTTTTATTTTTCACTTAGTAAATTTATTTTTTTTCTTGTAAAGATTGCTTCTTAATACAGCATCTGAAGTAATGGAATATGAACCTCTTGAAAGCAAACATAATTTTGGATACTTTAATCTCACATTTATACATTTATATTTTTTCAGATTTCCTAAACTAAAGTATTTCTTTTTTTTCACAGAAAGTGTTGATTATGGGCCAGTGTTTGTACAGGAGCCAGACGATATGATTTTTCCAACTGATTCTGAGGAAAAGAAAGTGTCTCTCAATTGTCAAGCTCGTGGAAACCCTACTCCCACATACAGGTATCTGATTTAGAAATTTTTTTTTTAGTTTTCAGAATATTAGTCATTGCAATCCTGTTGTGAGAATCAGTGTACTTTGGAGAGCAACAGAACAGAAACAGCTTCCTGACAGTGGTTTTTCTGATTGAATGTTTTTTTTCTGATCCTGAATAAGCAAGAAACCTAAGTGGTAATTATTAAAAACAAAACAATACACAAAGTTTCAAATTATGTGCTCTCTGCATCATATCTATCCATGTGGAGGGACTCCTTTTGTCCACTTTATTGACTTGTGTCTTTAACAACTGACAAGATCAAAATCTTTAATTGCTTGTTGGTTTTTTTTCCCTAAACATCTGTAAAGCTACAAAATACTATCCCATTTTAAAGGGAAAGCAGCAAAGAACAGGTAGATTAAATGACATGATTATGCATGCAAGATACTAAGACTGAGACAAATCTGGTGTCTTTTCACTCACAAGTCTGCAATTTTATTGCTTTGCAACCATTGTCTGTTGCTTATTTTTCCTTACAGACCTCTATCCCATACTTATCTACTAGAAATACCTGTCATGACATGCCTGTGAGCCTAAGAGTTCAGTTTACTAATGCTACCCCACTTACAGGTGGGAACAGTATGTTGCAAATCACCTTATACATCTACTATATCTGATTCTGTTAATATTTTATGCAAATTACAAGTGATTTGAGAGGGCTGGGGGAATATATAGTTGGTTATTTTTTTCCGTATACCCTTTGTCTTTTTTCATAGATTCGTTCTTCAATTACAAAGGGAATAAAGTTACTCTTATTGTGTTTTATCATAGGTGGCAACCATCAATTCTGCATTTTATCTTTTACCTTTCACATTTATTTGACTTGTGGATTCTTCAGAATTCTGGATGAATTCTCCTTAGAGTTATTCAAATCACAGCACTTGTATTTCTATAATTGGAAGAGATTCAAAAGCAGTACCATCCTTAAATATCCCCATCAAAACAGCACTCAGTCTACCTCTTTGCAACAGATGTGACTCATTAAATGGATCTGATGCATGACACAATCTCCCCAAACAGCACAGTCATGACTAAAACACGTAACATGGGACTGGGAATGAGTGGCCAGAAATTCTTCAAATTGGAATAGCATGAACTTCTCACTATGCCATATAAAAGCTTTGTCGCATTGTTCTTTGTTGACATTCCTTGTGTAATTTTTATTACGTACTGGTGATTTGTGGATAAAAAAAAAAGGATATTAGTTCTGCACACTGTAAAACAGTATCACTCCATTAATGTATCACTCCATTAACACAGGATGTGACCACGGGGAAAAGGTACAAATTCCTCCCCCCTCCAAGAGAGAGGAATCCTTTGTTCATGTCTCCCAGACAAGCTCATTATTCTTGTAGAAATTTTGTCTTTGGAGAACCTATGTAATCAACATCTTTTCTTTCTTTATCCAACCATTTTTTACATTTTCCTAGTGGAATGCAATCAACAAATACAGAACTTTGTCATATTTTAAAGAGTGGCTACAAAGGGGGTAGGGGTTCTCTCTTCACAAAGAGACACATGGAGAAGACAAGGGACAACAAGGTTTCGTACAAGAGAGGTTTCATCTCAGTATAAGAAATAATTTTTTTACTGTAAGAACAGTCATTCACTGGAACAACCTCCTCAGGGAAATGGCAGAGTCCCAGTCGCTGCAGGTTTCCAAGATGCAAATGAACAAGGTGCTTGATAATTATATTAGGCTCCCTTTTCTGTGAAAGACTGGACCAAATGGTCTTTCAAGATCCCTTACAACTAGGGCTGTTTTATGATTTTGTTATATTAATTTCTTCAGTTCTTCAGAGATTAACTGGTGCCAGCAGCTTCATAAACAAATTTTCCTGACTGCTGTTCCTGCAAGGAGAGCTTTGACCTGAAAGGTCTAATTCGAACAGCACAGTTTAACTTCTCCCTCTGTTACTGCCACTTGTCTGTACCCTATTTGCTATCTACACTACTGTTCAAGAGAAGAGAAAAGAGATATGAATTATTCTGTGGGGAATATACTATTCTCCAGGACAGATGCATAGGGAATTTAGCCTCAAAAGATCTGTAGATAAGCAAAGGTTTGTGTATGTCACTACCCAACGTTTGGTATATGAAATAGTGAGAAGAAGGGATATCTACATATCACCAAAGACCCTGTTCAGCTACACGGGACAATAGAAATCTTTATTTACCTGGGCTGTGAGGCCTACGCTGCTAAGAATTACTTTCAGCCAAAAGCAAAGCACAGTATAAATTTATTTATTTAAAGTTATATTAAAAGAACATTCAAAGCACTCATAAAATTCAATATTAAGTAATTTCTACCTTTTTTAATCAATTTCTTTAGTCTGTATAATTCGTGACACAGTGCTCATAGCTTATTTACAAATTTTATATTTTTCTAGGATGTTATTTCATTTTAACAGAATGGAGAATGCTCACATAATTTCAGATGTTGTTCTTCCTTGCAAAGAGCTTTGTTTCCCCTTGTCTAAGCTCTACCCTGAAATAACCATTCTTAATTTTTTTTGTTTTCAGCCATTAACATATCTAGATGCATTGGTTTAGAGAATACTCCTAGAGAAAAATTGATTTCGTTTGCGTAGCATTTCTGCAAGTCATACTTTAGCATCACAAGTCAGGACCTGTACAATGAAAACATAACTGAGATCCTTTTGATGAGCAATACAGACACTGACAAATTTCCTGTGGGATCTCACAGGTCACCAGTGTTACTGTTACAGGCAAGTGTAGAATTCCTTGAGATGCCACTTCACTACAGTGCTTTCACTACTTGTGAAACACTATTTTGAAACTAGTACATTTGTATATCCTATTTTACTTAGGACACATATAAGCTGGGTAGTAATTTTTTGTCAGTATCATTTTCTGATAGAAAAGGCAGCCGAAAAAGTTTTTTTAAAACAGTTTTTATCTGCTTAAACCAAATTAGAATATTTTGAAATGTTATCTGTCACTTTTCTTCAAGGAAAAATGTAGCTGATTTTTCCTAATAATCCATGACCTTGGAAGTGTTATGTTTTGGTTTCTGTCCTCTCAGATTAGTCAGGGTAACCAGAAGAAAATGTCACACAATTCAATGCTGCTTTTCCTCTCATGTGCTTGGATTATATGAGGGGACTACAATTATTTGGAATGCACCCCAAGATAAATAGGCAGAGAGCTATCAAGATCCAAATTTTTGGGATAGCATTCAAAACCCATATTTTTTGCATTGAATTTAACTGAAAAGGAGATTAAGTGAAGAAAGCTAATTAAAGCAAACTGAGTTTTGTGGCAATTCCCATTTGTAAATGCCAAGACATGTATTTTTTGCTTTTTCTCTATCTAAATTTCCCATCAAGTTCAACTATATTTTTATTTTTATTTCATACATACATACAAGGATATATTTATAAAAAGTTAGCTTTCATTATGATTTCATTCAAAATATTAAATAATTAATAAATTGTTGAAGATTTTAAATTCCTTTTTAGCTCTTCATTGTATGAATTTATTTAAAAATGTAGTGAATCCTACCAATATTTCCCTAATATCCTTTAAAACATAAAGAAATTGTCGATAGTTTTTAACTTCTTACAATAAATGAAGCAGAGGTCCTCTGCAATCAAAAGTCCAATCATGAAAAGACAGTACAAATAGCAGTTTCACAGTTCATCTTAATTCTGACAATTCTGACCTTTGGATTAAGCAATATTCAGAGCTACTTCAGCTGAATTCTGCTGTCTGTACCTCATTCACCACAAATGTTAACAAAATAGGATGAATTGATAATCATATTGCTTCATTAAAGTTACATCTGGAGTCTAAATTTTGCCAAGTTCTTCCAGTCTTCAGAAGTTCCTGGAAATTTCCTGAGGCAACTTTGAAGTTGCAAAATCACTGCGAATTAGTAATGAAGGAAATATCTGTGCATTATAATAACGGTACCATACCTGTTTACACTCTTTATCTCTTCTTTACAGTCTTCTAACAATTTCATGTTCTATACAGTTTGACACAAAAGTAAATCTAAAAGTCTTCATATGTGAATGTTATTCTTTAACTGAGATATTGCATGCACACACATGAAGTTATTCCAGCCTGCTAGAGTCTATTAATCTAGGACACAAGATTTTTACTCTTGCAGCCAATAGACTATTGTAGGATTTGTTTTTTCAGTCTTTCAAGATGCATGAGAGAGGTCAGACTTTTTGCAGACAATGTCTGGAACAGGGGGGAAATCCAACTCATAAACCCATTTGCACAACAAAAATTATGAGACTCTTAGGTTACTTCTGAAGCCTCAGAAACATAAGTGTTTATTCTGGAATTATTCAAAGTTTTGGCTCGGTTGTGATACTTTCTAATATGTTTCCTACAACCTGGCTTTTTCCATCTTACCTTTACTCCCATTCTTGTCTTTACTGCTCAGGCTTCTTATTTCACTCCCAAACACCTCCAAACTTAGCATTCCCTCTGCAGACTCCATATTTGATCTTAGTTGCCATTTATCTAGCAGCTACCAGGAATTTTCCTTGGTCATCCACCAGCTAATTCCAGTCTCTTCTGTTCCTGTCTTCTCTGAATTTTGTGTATACTGATCCACCTGATATTATTTTGTCTTTGCCCATTGCCAAAATCCCTTTTTTTCATAACAGTCTATGTACATCAGTTTACCTCCCTGCTCTACAGCCTTGCTCTACAGCCTTTCATATTTATTTGAGGTTTCTCTGTTTCTTGGGCCCAGAAGATTAAATGCTGAAAGAATGGGAAAAAAAGTTTCCCTGCTTTCATGCAGTGCAGACTCAGCTCTGTTAACTGTTAAACTCAGCTGGGCCTAGGGCTTTATTGATAGAGTATAAATTAAAACTTTGATTATCGTAGGCACAGTCAACCTCCTGTTTTTGACATAAAGAATGCATCTGCTGTTCAGTGTTCAAGTCTGAACCCTTTGTGGACATTAGTTTTTTGGGGAGGAAAAAAACAGAAAAAAAAGAAGACATCATTATTTTCATTTAACATAGAGAAAACAAAGAATATCTTTTATAAGCTGAAGATCTGCTTTTGCTTGTGGTTTTTTTCAGGAAAACTTAGTTTTTATCAGACACATGTTGTGGAATGTCTCCATCCAAAATTTTACCTGAGTATTGGTTTCCTGCATACGGTATCTTTGAGTAGCTGTCCCTATTATAAATGGGACTGTCAGATTCTGTAGACTAAGCTTGTTACCTTCATTTCACTATAGAATGCTCAAGTAGTTTTTTTTTTCTTTTTCCTAAGATGGCTTCGAAATGGAACTGAAATCGATATTGAAAGTGATTATCGCTTCAGTTTAGTAGAAGGAAGTTTGATCATCAACAACCCCAGTGAAATGAAGGATTCTGGACAGTATCAGTGTTTAACTACCAACACGTTTGGCAGTATTCTAAGCAGAGAGGCTGTTCTTCAGTTTGCATGTGAGTAACATTTTTTATAACATTGATAAATCAGATCTTTACATTACTTGATAAAGTTCTAAGTTGTAATTTGAATACATTATGCAAGTTACACTTTCCACTGACTTTGGCCTAGGATCTCAAAATTAGAAACAAAATGCTTAGTGGAAAACAGTGGTTTTCCGTGGAGTTACTTTTATAAATGAATCAACTATCAGGGAAAGTAACTCTAATTCATCTCAAATGGTGTACTTTAATGATGTACTTGAATACTCTACAGTGATATACTTCACTTATTGCTAGTTTCCTGAAACATCTATCATTTTGCCACACTATCTGAGCAGGAAAGAAAGAACTGTAAACTTAGGAATAGAATGGAATAAAGTACCTATATATCTTTTGGATAGTCTGCATTTCTAACTACGTGTGTGAGCACAGTTTTTTATATATACATGTATAAAAATATATATGATTTATGTCCATGTTTATCCATACATAGCACATATACTGACACAGAGTATGCAACTGAGAGGATTTTTTGTAGTTGTTAATGGAAACTGAAAATGTCTTAGCTTTTGAAATCATTCACTACAATATACTTCTCAGAAGCTATTAAAAATTCATGATCCCAAGTAAATGCTATGGTCTATCTATAGCATGCTCTTTTTCAAACATACTATCAGGAAAAATAGGGTCAGATTTTCCCTCCAACCCTAATTTCCCTTCATCACTTTACAGGAAGATAACCAAAATAATTTCAGTGGTTTACCTGGATAAATCCTACCATGATTTATGGTAGGGATGCAAAAAGAACTCCACCCTAATTTCTTAGATCCTGCTGAAAATAAGACATTACCATGAGACATGTAGCAGATCTTCATATAGCCATAGCTGGAAAGCTGGTTGCCTATCTGTATGTCTACTAACATCTGGTGGTGTCAAGAACTCAGTAGATCTAGTGTGAGGTCTGAGATTCTCCCTTAATTTACACCTCCATTAGAGTCAGACCTCTTAAATCTATTGCTGTAGTCTTATCTGCTGCAGATCCTGTCAAGGCATTTGGAGATCATGGCACTATTCACCTACTTCTGAGCTGGGAGGAACAATCACGTTTGCCAAAGTTTCCTCATGCCAGGGCAGCATGTCTAAAACTCTTAAGCACCACAACTGTGGTATCATCACAGTATTACTGGACCTCAGTTTTAAATGTAGCTTCTGAGAAAATTCTGCTGTATTTTATCTTTTAGAAAAGAAATCTATCATTAAACAAACCTCTAGGTTAATGAACAGGACAACTGGCAAATATAAATAGTTCCAGGGCTCTGAATCTCAAATTTCTGTTCCCATCTCAGGAGTATGGTTTACAGGTGGCCATTTGACTTCCAGCTGAAAAAAAGTACAAGGAAAGTGAGAACTGGAGCTCAAATAACAGAAGGCCTATGAGTTTCAGTAGCTGCATGTACAGTTCATTCAGGACCTCATGTGCTTATAGTTACAATATTACCTCTTCCAATAAAACAAATTAAGATGAAGCTGTTAAAAAAAAAAAAAAAAGAAAAAGAAAAAGAAAAAGAAAAAGAAAAAGAAAAAGAAAAAGAAAAAGAAAAAGAAAAAGAAAAAGAAAGAAGTGATTGGATTTGATGGGTTTATTGGATTATTAAGTTTGTATTATCTTGCACACCTGTTTTTGCAGATATGAAAATTATTAGGCTGTTATGGCTGGAATGTGATTTCTGTTCATCAGAGTATTTGGGAATTGTGAGGAAAGTTTCTCATGAAAGTTTCATGGAGGAATGTTTGCTGGAAGTCCCGAGGTGTAGTGAATGATGCTGCAGAACCTGAAAGAGAGAAGAGGTTTTTATAAGGACATGGAAATCTTTTAAAAAGGACAAAGTAATGAAGTTCTTTTAGAAGTTTGTAAGCAATTTGTTCACGAGAGCAATTTCAAGTTCAATGTGTAATTGTAGCTCAACTTTTATGCAGCATGACACTCTCTCTTCCACTCTTGATTTAAGGCTTCTTCAAATCCCTGATATTAAATGGTTGTTGTTGCTGTTAAAACAATATTTGCATTATGCAGCAACTAAACATTTAATATATGGTGTCACCATACTGTAAACTCATAGTAATGTGTCAGAAGCTTGGATCACTGAAAAATCACAGTAAGATCCTAGGGCAATCTTTTCCAATACCTCACCACCTTTATAATGAAGTATCGTTTGTTAACAGCTAGCTTACATGTCTCCAGTTATTTTCAGTCAGACAGAAAGTAAAGCATTGAAAAAGATTTTTGTAAGGAAAGCTCCTAACCTTTAAGTAATTAAAGTAATTGGTGCTCTACAGTCTTACTGGGCTCTAGTGGCTTGAAGAGTAATCTATAATCACAAGAATAAAACAAGGCATTTCTGATTATGAGATACAGAGCTACATATTCCCTTTCTTTACTGAAAACCATGGATTCCAAAAGCTTAGGAATTTACAACTTTCACAGAAAAAAACCCAACAAACAACCAAACTTATGTTCATGGACTTGCTTGAATGCATGATTTGTACTGTTTTGGAAAATAGTTACATCTTTGCACCTTGAAGAGATATTCTCCTAATTAAAGAAAGAAATGGCATACAGATCAAAAGGAAACAGCAACGACCATTCAACAAGGGCTTTGACACTATCTTATAAGAAAAAGTATGTGCTGTAACCAGCCTATGGAAAATATTATGAAACCTGAAAAAGGAGAGCATGCTTATTGCATTGGGTCTTAGTTTTCTCAAAATTCCATGGCCAAAAGCCCAGTTGCTATGGTTATTATCATGTAGTTCAGTTTTGGTGATGCATTGCAAATATAAATGTTCAAGTGCTATATAATATGCAATATGTTTGCACAGTTAAAATAGGACTTTGAAATACTTATACGATGTTTTTGGATTTGAAAGAGAAGGAGATATAAAGTGAACATTATCTATGTGTAGATAACACTTGAAATAACCTCCTATATCACTGGTTATTTTTATGGAGCAAAATGAAAAGGCCAGTTATGTGCAGTTAAAGGTCTGCTTGAAATTTTAAACTACCATAGCATATATGTACGAAGATTTAAGTTGAATAAAAGTTCTCTTATTTTTTTTAATCTTTGCATTTCCTGTAATCCCTCATGGCCAAAGTCGTGCTGGTTTATGCTTTTTTTGGAAAGTAAGCAAAGAAAAAAAAAAAGCGGAGAAAATATGTTTCATGATGTAAAAGAAATTAGCAGAAGTATAACCAGGAAATTATTTTGTTGTCTATAGAATTTTATGTAGAAGAAAAAAAATGAGGGAATAAAGTCCCCAGATAAAACTGACGAAATGTTATTAGAATTTACACTGCCAATAAAACAAATCAGAATTCTTTATCACAAAAATCACAAATTTAAAATCATCTTTCAGTTTACTCATAACAGGTTGTTAAAAAGATAAAAAACTCTCAATTTGCTACAGCTTCAGATGCCATTTATGCTCACCAGTCACAAGGAATAGTTCATGTACAAAGCATATGTTTTCTTAACAAGATTCTAATCAGGACATTAAAATGTAAGAGCATCATCCCATCCTAATGTTAATGAATTTTGTAGTTCTGGGTGTGGCTAGTTTTATGGAAGAGTTATTTAAATCTCAAACAAATCTTTAAAGATTCTGCAGTTAATGGAAATTAAAAAAAAAATGGGAAAGTTAGTTATTCTAGCTTAAGTTTTTACTGTATTAAAGGAAGTGTTTATATGAAGGAAGAAAACATCAGGCAAGTAAAGCAACCATAGTAAAATATAGTTGCTGAAAGAAGAAACCTAACTTGGTGGAACACCTAGTAATTTTAAATAAGTGCATAACATCAAAAATGTTTTGAGGATATGAAACTTAATAACAAAGTGTAAAAGTTTTATGAAAGAACTTATGCACTAAGCACATACACATTGTTAGATTGGTCTCTTATCTCCTCTCATTTCTGTTGTTAGAAATTTATATAACCTAAAGAGAGGATTTAAGAATTAAACTTTATTAATAATTTCTCCATGTTGGCTACTTTTGCCATATGTGCTTGAGTTAAGAAAGAATAAATGCCTTGAACCTCATGCGAAATTAAAAAAAAATACAGATTTTAGCTTGACTAAATCTATCTGCCTTACTGTAAAACAGCTGCATATTTTTGTGATGGGTTTCACAGCTTCTCTCTGGAACAGTGTCTTAAAACTGGCTACAACAGTGGACATATTTTGTGATTACTTTTGCCACATACAATCTCTGTGTTCCATTAGGTCACAAAACAAAATTGGTTTCCTTCATCTGTGGATTTTTTAACCTTTCACAAGCCTACAATCTCAGTGATATTTGCAGCCTCGGCTAAAAAGATAGAGAAGTGATAGGGGAAAACAACTTCTCACCTGTCATTTAGGGAAGTGCTCACTGCAATTATATTAATTCAATAGTCATGGGCTTCTTTGTATAACTTCCTTTTTTTTTTTTTTTTTCTTTTCCACAAAATCTATTTTCTCCTTTAATCTACGGAGAAGGATATTGATTAGATACAATTTAAATGTCATTTTTCAATATGTATCTACCACGACTGTCCAGTGGTGCACAGAATGAGAAGTCAGCCATGTCGCAGACATATAAGTCAATAGTTTCCTGAGGAGACAGCCTGTGTACTGCCCATTCCATCACAGCACACTTCTGTCAGCCCTTTTATTGAATTCACCTACTAAGAAATAAACTGAATGATCTGTGTTTTCTTTCTTGCCATCAAGTTCCCTGTACATCTTGATGGGTATATTTCATAATTTCCTAGTATTAATTTTTAAAAAGTTGATTTAATTAAACCATCTAGATGTGAGAAAAACATTTCTTTCTCATGTTCATTCCAGAAGAAACAGCCTAACAAATTGTTTGTTGACATTACAATATCAGCATTTTCTTCCAAGACATACAAAGCTAAACAGTTTTAGGTACTATAAAAGAAAGGTGATAAGCTGAAGTGGGAAAAGAAATCAAAG